TATAATAAAAAGTGATTAAATGTCCATGTGAAGGAAGTAAATATAGAAAAAATAAAATTAACGACCGACTAAAAAACTAGCTGCTTTCACCCTTCACAGGGCTCTTCAGGTTTATTCAAAAGAGAACAACGTCGTGACGTCACAATTACATGTCATCACACTACAATAGTACCGTGGCGTCACGAAGTACACAAGATTGGTGGACAATTTGGCGTTAAAAAAAATTGTGGCCTGTTGAGACTCGGTTTTAATATTTGTATTAGTTGGTCTTCTTCGTTTCTCTTAAAATAGTGTCTGATGAAAATAGTTGATACAAAGGTAATACATTAAATTTATCTCCAGCATATTCATGAATATGTTTGTTAACATGAAGATTTCGTAAAGAATCAGTTCTAGTTTGTTGTCTATGTACAGTCATACGTGTTCTGAGTTCATTACCGGTTTGACCGATGNTATGTTGACATGTTCTAAGTTTGATAATTCTTGTGTAACACCAAAAGTATCCAAATGTAAGACACCAAGATGTGCTACATGTCCTATGATTATCGAGTGTAATACTTTTATTTTCAAGAATGGTTTGAAATTTACTGTGAAGGTAAATATGAATTGTAAATCAAAAAATGTAATTTATGCAATCGTTTGTTCTAAATGTGGTGATTTTTACATCGGTCAAACCGGTAATGAACTCAGAACACGTATGACTGTACATAGACAACAAACTAGAACTGATTCTTTACGAAATCTTCATGTTAACAAACATATTCATGAATGTGCTGGAGATAAATTTAATGTATTACCTTTGTATCAACTATTTTCATCAGACACTATTTGAAGAGAAACGAAAGAAGACCAACTAATATAAATATTAAAACCGAGTCTCAACAGGCCACACTTTTTTTTTACGCGAAATTGTCCACCAATCTTGTGCACTTCGTGACGTCACGTTACTATTGTAGTGTGATGACATGTAATTGTGACGTCACGTCGTTGTTCTTTTGAATAAACCTGAAGAGCCCTGTGAAGGGTGAACGCAGCTAGTTTTTTAGTCGGTCGTTCATTTTATTTTTTCTATATATATATATATATATATATATATATAATAAAAAGGGATTAACTGTCCATGTGAAGGAAGAAAATATAGAAAAAATAAGATTAACGACCGATTAAAAAAATAGCTGCTTTCACCCTTCACATGGCTCTTCAGGTTTATGACAATTTTGGAATATGTCATAGCAAAATTGAAGGCACAAAGATAGCTGTTTGATTGGTTTCGGGTAAAAAAACCTGACCAATCGCTAGGCTGATTCCTGTCCTTTGCAGATTACAAAGGATAGACGCCCGATTTAAAGCCTGTCAAGTTTTACCGTTACGTGGCCGCGAGATTCTTTTGATGTATATCAAAGGATCGAATTAGTCTTCTTGTCTTATCAACAAGGTGGCGCACACCTAGCCTTCAGTTTCGCTTTGACATATTCCAGGGGTGCAGAGAGCGTAAGTGAGCGTCACCCCTGGATACCGAGAATGCCAGAACACCTGGTTGTTCATCAGTAGTCTGTTTGTGTTTATGATACATTTTCCATCTAGTGTTTTATCGGTATAGGGTCCTTTATATGTATTCTTATGACGATTTGATCATTTTGTATTGACGTAGTGATGCACTTTTAAATATTTTATTTTATATATTTCTACAAGAGTCGTCATAGGAACAATAATGTCACCGCGAATCTAACTTCAACCACACTTTCCAAGACACAAAGAGCATTACGTCAATTGAGATTGCAATATAATTACTTGTACCAAGTTATTTAAAAAAAACGGGAGACATGGATAAGGTGTTATTACGTAGCATAAGATTATCATTCTTGAAGTAGACGTACAGAGGGGCGACAATTTTTACGGAGGTTTTGGAAAAAGTGGGATTGAAGATGCGAATGCCAAGAGAACCTTTTTATTAGTGATTGGTTAGGAATTATGAAGAAGAAAGAAGTGGCGGGAATCTGACCGAGGAAGAGAGGGTTTTATTTGAAATCGCTATGTTGAAAAGAAGAAGAAGACTGTAGCTCAATGTTGCCGGGTATATACTCAACACCCTCACTTTAAAAGTGAAGACCAGATAACAGTGATGAACTAATGCATTTCTGGCGAGGTCCCATGCATTTGTTTTGTTCAATACGCCAAGGTAAAAAGTATGTTCTTAGATCGTAGAGCTAACACAGTAACAAATAAGTGGATGTTTCTAGCGAGAAAGTAACAACAGCAGGGTAGGTCTTGATTTGGGTCACAGTAAGATTCTTAAGTCAATACCCGACACGAATGACAGATACCAAGAGAGTAGTAATTCAAATGTCGTCATGTGATCATTGGTATTTAAAACATCATAGAGTAAACCAGTGAACTAATTAGTCCGGCAGTTTGGAGCACATTTTGATACAAAACCAATATTATTTCCTATATATAGCAATTCTTTCTCTGCTGTACATGACATGCTTACACCACACGGACGTGTTAACATGCACAGGTCCTCCACTAGTTAATGTTGACTTACATAGTAAATATATTGGTTCATGCTTAGATCTTTCCAGGTAGTTTACACTTCCTGTGTCCAGACAAATTTACAACACGAACGTAACAAACGGTAGAGTATCTTACTGTTCAAATCAATGACGTTTTGCAAAAGGAAGTTCTTCTTTAGCGATTACTATATGTATTGCATCTACGAAAGGGTTTTCAGTCAGTAGGTAAATACTGGTGTGAAATTGCCAATTTGTTGTTGTTTACGTGGTTGTACACTGTAATTCGATGACAATATCTTCGATTGGTTTCTCTACATGAGCGATACTTGTTTGGTGATTGAACAGTTTCGACGTATGAGGCTTTTGATTTCACGATAACTATTTCCGAAACGGACATGCACAGACAGAATAAAGGCATACGTTCGACACTTTTCATTAATGAGTGTTGTTTTACGGCTGCTGTACTTGAATGGGTTGAACAGTACAGAAGGAAATGACCACAACATGGCTGACAAATGTCTAAACAGCTGATGTTTACGGTATCGTAAGGGTGGCAGATGTATGCTAGTTGATCATGGTGATTTATACGTGTAACTGGCCATTACGTCAGCTTTATCTTTCATTACACGTGTCACTGACCATTAGTTAGCTTTATTTGTCATTACATGTGTGACTGACCATTACGTAAGCTTTATCTGTCATTACATGTGTAACTGACCATTACATAAGTTTTATCTGTCATAACATGTGTAACTGACCATTACGTAAGCTTTATCTGTCATTACATGTGTAGCTGACCATCAGTTAGCTTTATTTGCCATTACAAGTGTAACTGACCATTAGTTAGCTTTATCTGTCATTACATGTGTCACTGACCATAGCGTTAGCTTTATTTGTCATTACATGTGTAAATGGCCATTACGTTAGCTTTATTTGTCATTACATGTGTGACTGACCATAACGTTAGCTTTATCTGTCATTACATGCGTGACTGACCATAACGTTAGCTTTATTTGTCATTACACGTGTGACTGACCATTGGTTAGCTTTATTTGCCATTACAGGTGTAACTGACCATTAGTTAGCTTTATTTGTCATTACACGTGTGACTGACCATTGGTTAGCTTTATTTGCCATTACAAGTGTAACTGACCATTAGTTAGCTTTATTTGTCATTATACGTGTGACTGGCCATAACGTTAGCTTTATTTGTCATTACATGTGTGACTGACCATAACGTTAGCTTTATATGACATAACATGTGCAACTCACCATTACGTTAAATTTTTTTTGCCATTACAAGTGTAACTGACCATTGGTTAGCTTTATTTGCCATTACAAGTGTAACTGACCATTAGTTAGCTTTATTTGTCATTACACGTGTGACTGGCCATAACGTTAGCTTTATTTGTCATTACATGTGTGACTGACCATAACGTTAGCTTTATATGACATAACATGTGCAACTGACCAATTCGTCAGCTTTACTCCTCGTAGTTGACCATTACCTTTCACTTAATCTAAAATAACCGACTGTAACGTTAGCTTTACCTGTCATAACTGACCATTGTTTTTAATGTATCTACCAGTACTGGCCACTCCATAACTGACCATTACGCTCGCTTTATCTGCCACAAATGCCCATAACGTTAGTTTTGCCCGCATTAGCTGATAATCACGGTAGTTATGGCGGACAATTAAGTTCGCTTTACCTGCGGTAAACGATAGGTGCACATCGATTAGCGTGCCTTCCTACATCAATAACAACAGGTGTTTTGTAGTGGTTTTGCCTCTGGACCCCGTACTCCTATCATCATTATACAGCTTACAGGTATTATAATTTACATTACACATTCTCATGAGCATATGATGGTAGTTACAAACACATTGAATCTCCAATGCATTCTAGCATCTCACAGCTATTATGTAAGGATTATATGTTGCCATGACAATATCATGGAATATTGTTGAAATATAAGAAATGACCACACCCAGACCCACCAAATAAAACTTATGCTTCTGTCCTCGCAGAATTACCAAGCATATATATATCCACTAAAATCAAATGATAATATAGAGTACAGCACAATTTTCTATGGGACTACTATTTACCTGGGTCGATATGTTCCACAGATGTTGTTGTCAGATGACTGGATCCTCTGGGGATGTTAACACTTAAACAGAGATATTTAAACCATTACTGTGTCTCTGTGTAATCTGTTTACTCCTAGCAAGAGAATTCACGGACTGTCACGGTTCCTCTACCTGTAGAGGGTATAATCCAGGTGCGCGCACTAGACAGTGTTCGTGTACCCGCAGTACGGAAGCTATCTGTCTCCTATTGGAAAACACGACCGCCGCCTACACTGTCAGCAACAGTATGCACACGAGTTTTCCGATAACATCGCTCTAATAGCGAGTCGTGATAGGGAGGAATAGCGCTACCTGGCGCCACGTTCTCCGTCACCCAATACTTAGCGCTAAATGACACACCTCACAACCTGGTAAACCATGTCACAAGGACCTGGCGCCAGGGTTTCCATCATCCGCTACCTGGGGCACCACTCCATCTGTCCCAACAGTTTCCGACTTGCTACTTAACGTATAACGCTACAAAACACCAAGCTCCTAGTTTGCTACATATTTATTCCTCAATCAGGCGCTTTCTGGCGCACAACAAAAGTCCCGCCTCATTATTTAACGTGGAGAAAATGGTCTTAGCAGCCTTTTCTTACTTTTACTTTCCATGTGCAATTCTTAGAGTAGCCACCGTTCCATAATTAACGTTGAAAAGTATCATATGCGGTTTTGTTAATGGCCACTATTCCATTATCAACGATGCAAGTGCTCTCTGGAGGACATTGCAAAGGACCCAAGAACCTGTCCATGTATAGTTTTTATTACACTGCCATATAATTATAAAAAATAAAAAATTGTCCCCCGACCATTATGATCTTATTTGTTGTTATGTGTTAAACCCCGATAGTCCATACGTAATGTTGAAATGTACCCAAGAGCACTATGGATCTCTGTTCAATTCTCTGAATGGCCTACTTCCAATAATAATATTGATAATTGAATAAAACGTTATGAAGTATTTCTTCGTTCGGTTTCCTAAGTGGCCCAGATTCCATAGTCAACGTTGAAAATAACCCCTAGGGAACAACGCTGAAACTGGCCCCAGAAAACCAGGTCCATCTTCTGTTTTCAAAATATCCTTTAACATTTACGTTGTATATGATCCCAGAATATTAAAACATCTTATATTGCTCAATTTCCCTGGTTCCTAATTAAGCGTTAAATCAACCCAAAGTACGCCACCTTCCTCTGTTAATGTCCCTGGTTCTTTATTCAACGCTGGAAATAAATCCCGTAACATTATGACCCCTTTGTTTCTAAAACTCTTATCGGTTCCTTTTCGACATTGAAATGGACACTTGGCCATACTGACAATGTTTCTTGTGGGGTTTTTTGGTCAGATTTCACCGTTCAATTTTAGACTCAAAAGTAACCTGGTCTTAAAGACGTCCGTGATCAAGATTGGCGTTTTTCCATATTAAGATTTCAAAAGTGCTCCTGATTAATAATCAATTTTGAAATTGGATCGCTAGGAAAACGCAACAAATGGCCGTCAGCACAGGTTCAGGTAAATTTTCACAATACAGTGTGCATCTTAATAAATATTAACGTTGAATATAAACCACAAACCATCATGACACTTTTAAATGTTGAGAATTGTCCTGATTCTACAATCAGTGTTGCACGTAAAAAAAGAATATTACAACATCTGACTCTGCAGACTTTCAAAATTGCATCAGTTTCTTTTTGTACGTGGAACTGAATACTTGACGATACTAGCAATGTTTCATGTTCAATTTTACGGTTCCTCCGTTCTCTGAACAGTGGGATGCATTTTGCTTGTTGTCCAACTGCCAAATTAATGATTTTCTTACAGCCAATAAATTGTGAACCTGAAGAATGTCAAAATGTTTTATTTTTATATTAACGTGGCCATAATTCCACTGCTCTCAAAATTATTTGGCATATGCAGCCCTCTTAATTCTACAGCTGTCAAACTTTGTTTTTCTATTCTGGATTTATATTCAATCCTATTTGATTGCTCAATTTTAGTTGCAAGAGACTCAAAAGAAATGCAAACATAAAACATAGACAAATTGAGTTTAAGGGACTCTTTAATGGATAACCAACAGTTCAGTATAGGTGTTTTGTCAGTAGATATGAAGAAGTAAAGTAATTTTTAGTACATAATCATGACAAACAGATTTGTAAAGGCGTCATTTCTCAGTTGTGTACCACATGTTCATCTTTTAATGCGAGACATTTTACTCCTCAAAACCCCGTCTCCATATGACCCTGGCTGTTGCAGGACGTTAACCTCCACACAAACAGATATTTTCTCTAGAGGTATTCCTTAATCTTCTTATTGCTTTCTCCAGGTTATTTTCACACAATCTGAATGACGTTTCTGAATCCCGTAAACATAGTTGACAAAATCCGCACTATTATGAAAAACTGTTCTGTTGATATTATGTTCAGCGCATGGTCATACGTTAATTAGTAATATTTCCAGTGATATACGGAAACTATGTGGACATGCCAGATACATTACCTGAAGCGCATACCGAACCCAGTACACATACTCTTTTTTTTTTTTTTTAAAAGACGCTATTTATGATATTCTGACTATCTCAGTACAGTCAAAGAATAAAAGGAGATATTTATTTCCGCCTGGGATGTACCCTGTACAATTCGGAACTAGCATAGGGGTACAATGTTCTACTCGCTATAAAAAGTTTGCTATCGGTCGACATTGTATCTTGACCACTGTCTTAGGTTTATATATTTACATTATGATTAAACTATTAAAGATGCGTATCATATATATAGTTGGTCTCAACTCATTTGACCAGTACAGAAATGTACGTATTAAGACTTATGTACGACCAGTAAGGACATAGGCGACGTAGAAAACACCACCAAAACAAAAAACAAGTAGGAATGGTTATACGAATCGTTTCATGGGGACAGTAAATCAATTTTGGATTCTTCATTGTTTGAAATGAGAAGACACATACGGGAAGCTCCCGATTCCGTCGGGTTCCCACATAAGAAACCTCATACGAACATTGACATGAAAGGGGATATTAACAGGTCTTTGTCTTAATTAAACATGCAGAGGGAGTAGGAATACGTTTTAAATGTTAGTCAATCTCACACATACGACCAGTATAGTATCGCTTACATTGCAGACTTGAGATGCACACAATTCTTATTACCCAAGGAGTCACATCTAAAATAAGTTATATACCAAACCTTGGTAGTTTTAAAATTTTGATTACGTAGGAATGTCATGTTAACAATAATCAACTCACCAGCATTCTATAAAACTCCTGTGTAATGCCTTCACACATGCAAAACTCTAAACAGATTTTAAACATCAAACACGGCTGGTCTTTGAAGGTCCATGATGTCGGGTACTTAATACTTCCCGCGAGCTTTGAACGTGAGGCCGGGAGAGTAATCTGTGATGGTCATGATGCAGCAAGGGAACGTGGGCGGTAGTCACTAACTTTGTAAAACAGTTAGTATGTCACACAACCGTTGTTCTGAACTACATCAGGGTATGTCCGTTAAAGCTGTGATGTCTGGGACACCTAGACCGAATATTAAGTCATATAAATTATTCACGTTTAATGAACAGATTTTCTCTCTTAAAGACAGAAAAGGTTTGTCTTTGATAGGAGAAATGCATAGGAGCTTGATAAGGTGTGTTAAGAAGGTTCCACCCATGTCATTTAAAATGTTTAGAATAGGGTAAGATAGGAGGCACGGTAGTCTATTGGTAGGACGACGGGCTCGTGACCGAAGGGTTGCGGGTTCGAGTCACGGCACGGCTCGGCACTATGTTGTATCTTTGAGCAAGATACTTTACTGCGCTTGGTCAAGTCTACTCAGCTGTAAATAAGTACGTGGTTGGGCAGTGCTAGTATTGTTGAATGCTAGCTGTGAGCGCCGAAAGGGCAGCACCGTCTGTATGCTCTCCAGGGAGTTGAGAAATATATTGTCTGGTTGCAAAGGCCCTATAACCAATGATAATAATGTGTGAACCGCTTTGAGACGACCTACGAACTAGTTTGTGATGAAGCGGTATATAAGAACCTTGAATTGTTATTATTATCATTTTAAGTTTATGGCAAATATATAACGCTCTTAATCTGTCTGAAAAGGATTTTTGAAGGATCTGATCAAAAATCGAACGAGGTACAGTCGTGTCACAGAATCACGATGAACTTGGTAAATGATTTAGGTAGATTTAAAAGATCCTCCTTTCCCAGAGTCACTTCATGTAATTTTGTTATCATTACTTGCATCATCCTCATCCAGATCATCGTGCAAGTATATATCTGGCCACGAGTCAGGTTTAGCCAAGTCTTGCTAACCTCTTGGAAGTACATGCTTGTTCAACCTCACTTATACAAAATATTAGTATCTGCAGCGCTAAATCGTTTAATCCCATTATATATGCACAGTGGATGTGATACAATATCTGGCTTCTATGGACATGGAAAACAGAAACTCAGGATGCACACAAAGATGTTGCAAACCTTTTTTCAGTGACACAAGAAACAAGAGGTTCTTCAGCAAACGGCCACATTCACTATTCAACAGATCTACAATGATAAAACCAGTAAACATTTAGGTGAAACCAGAGCACTGAAGTGGGGTCAGATGAGGCAAGTCCACCAATATACCCTTTCTTCGGCACACATACATACATGCACGCTTGCTTACACAACACAAATTAAAATCAAACCAAACAAATCATATGATTCTGGCTGTTGTGAGGACGTTAAACCCGCAATGTACAATATCATTGACCAGACATTTAATACAATGTTTTTTTTTTATCTAGTTTACAATGGTTTAAGATGAAAGTTCGCATACAAACCATTCAGGGTGTCTATCTGGTCCTTTCCCTTGCAGTCTGCTGGCGGTTATCCTGGTTTTTGGCAGCAAAATAATAAAAAAAATCGTTCTAACGTTTACTGTTATCGAGTTATTGTGCTAATAAATGAAATCCCTGACCAACAAACATATATTTAGACCCAAAATTCATATAAAACGGACATGTAGAAACAAATATATGTATTTTATGAT